TCTCAGTCCCAGAAGTAGCCGATTTTTAAAATGTTTTGCTTGCACGTACTAATTTCCCTATTCTTTAGAGAAATTGCAGTTCTCATTTTCCTGTGACTAATTATAGCTCGAATGAAATGAGGGAAGTATCTTCAGTATTTTTTGGTACTGTTTTGTATTGGTTGCACATGTTGGAAATGTATTGCTCTTAAATATGTACTTCCTTCTTAAAGCCTACATAGCCAGCATAAGCTAAAGGAATCCTTAAAATGTGGTTAAAAGGGGAGGAAATGGTTTTTGATTTTTCAATGTTTGTTTTCTGTCTCATGAGCTATTCTTCAGAGAGTATCGACTGCTTTCATATTGTGTCGAAGCCATAAGAAAGAAACGCCAGTGGTTATCTATCTCACAGCCCTGATGATACTCATAAGAGCAGTCATAAACTGATATTTTTTCTGCTCTAAGTGTTTCAAAACCAACTTTGACCTATACATGTGAAAACGTATCCTTTCTATATAGTAGCTTGGAATATCTACCTTGACATCTTTCTCAAAATCCACTGTGCATAATTTCAATCTGCCAATTGTTCTTTATCTTGGATATAGTGCTTTCCTTTGGTCCCTGCTATAAAAATGGTCATATTTCATTTTAAATTTGTTCTGATTTCAGCGCTGATTGAAAAAATACTTCTGGTGATAGATATATACAAATCCCAAGATACAAAGGTTTTTCAGTGTAATTTTATGATTTTACCATATTTTTATACAAATAATGTGCACATTATATACCTTTATAAGCTGAGCAACCCCCAGTGTGATTTTCATAGGAATGCTATACTAATATTTTTACATGTTGCTTCAATTTCACGTTTTTTCCTGTGCAACAGATTTAATGTTACTAGGATAAAATTGATCTCATGGAAACTTCTTTTAAGATAGGTATCTTTGTAAACCAAGTGCAACCAAAGAGAACTTAATGGGTTCATGATGTGAATGGGACTCCATAGTGAAACCAAAGATTATGAATTCATGACGAACTAGAAATTGGTAAGAAAGAAATGTTCCTAGCCTTAAACTTACAAGAGCAAGATATTGTTTACATTTTACTGCTTTCAAAAATCATAATGTGGAACACAATTTTTGATAATCAATGTCTGGAGACAATAATTAAAAGTCACTAGAAGTAATTGTGTTTTCATCTTAAACTAGGCCATTTAGTTTATTCATTTATTATCATCTGACTGTTACATATCAAACTCACTACCATTGATTCTGAGTAATAGTAAGTAATTCTATAGGACAGAGTAGAACTGCTCCATAGGGCTTCTGAGACTGTACATTTTTACAGAAGCAGAGAGCCTCATCTTTCTTCTGAGGAGCCTCTGGTGTCTTTGAACCATTGTCCCTGTGGTAAGTAGCCCAATGCCTAATATACAATGTCACTAGGACACCTTATCCAATTTCCAAACTCTTCAGATTTCAATACCTCCTTACTATCATCATGGAAAGTTCTCAGTGCTTCTTGAAGGCACACTTCAGTGATGCCAGAACTGACAGATATCAGCATTACTCTGTTCAGTGCCTTCAATATCATCATCAACATCATTGTTGGTATTTGGCTGACACTCACTCTCAGAATTTATGAAGCCATTTATGGTGTCGGGGAATATCTTGCCCCAAGCAGAAGCCAGCCACTTGCAGATTTCTGTAAATGTTGTCCACTTCAGTTGTTTTGATGATGGGAACAACACATGAATCTGAGATGGCATCCATTCCTCTCACTTTCTCATGAAAGTCTCAAATAAGTGTTTGACCTCTCTATATTGTAGCCATATAACATTGATCTACCCTACTTTCATAATATGATAGCCCACCCATCTCTTTGTATTACAACGCAAAACTACCCTGCTGGGGATACTTTTGGAGATAATAGCAGCTCTCTTGAAAATCACCATCTGCTTTAATTTTACCCCACTCTCTGTGCAGCCCTGAGGCAGCTACAGTTCTGGTGGCTAGAGTATCAAAAGATAACAGAACTTTGTCCATCTTGATTATGTGCATTTCAGATATACTAGGTTCAGAGATTTCTTTGGTGATAAATTTATGGAAGATTGTTGCCTTTTTTCTTTTGGTCATGTTGAAATTACTGGCCTATAGTAGTTCTCATTTTCACAGAAAAACCATTTCTTTTCATGAATTTAGGAATCTGGATAAAAGTCACCTTGAAATTTGGACTTCCTCTTTTATTTGTCAGAAATTTCACGTCAATCTGAATTGTGACAGTAGAGATAGTTTATTTTGTTCCTTTTGAGGAATATTTCCCTCCTTCAACTTATGCCATTATTTTTCCAACTCATACCATTCTTATTTGGGCTTACAATGTGTGTATTTTCACAAATTCATTTATCTCAATTCTTTTCCTCTTTTCTTCAAACCTTCTAACCTCAAACTTTCTCACAGCTTCATTGTTGTTGTTTCTTCTGTCCTCTCAATGATTTTCAGTTTTAAGTCACCAGTGTAGCACTTGCATTTAATTCTTGCCAGGATCCTAAAGGATTTTAAGATGTAAATTGATGAATTGAAAAAATGTGTACACTATAATTGATCACTAGCTGATTCTAGTAAAGAAATAGCAAAATTCAATTCAAGGGTTGTTTCATATGCTCGTGAGCATATGAATAAGATGATTTATGATCCTTGTTCAAAGATATTGAGATAATAAGATATAATTAGAATATAAAATAAGTAGACCTAATATAACTTAATAGTTCATTTAAAATGACCTGATGACGCTTTCTTATTCAACTGTTAAGAACTGTCACATAACAACTTGCTTTGTTTACCTCTCTAATTAAAACTCAGAGATGGATGATGACTGTGATAATTATGTCAAATAAGTCTGGATAAAGTAATAGTCCTATTGATAGCTGCAAGGAGTCCTGGTAGCAGAATGGTTATGCACTGGGCTGTGATACACAAAGTCTGCAGTTTGAAACCGCCAGCAACTCCACAGGAGAAAGACAGGACTTTCTATTCTTGCAAACAGTTACAGTCTCTGAAACTAACAGGAGCATTTCTATCCTGTTCTATAGTGTCACAATGAGTTGGTATCTATTGGATGGCCGTGAGTGTGGTTTGAGTATTGATAGCTACTGGGTGCCATTTATGCCAGTGCATGCTCTGCTTAAGCTTCCAATTGATAGCACATGATTTATGGACAAGCTTTGATAGGTTCAAGGTTCCAACTGATGACAAAAAATGATGGGGTTTAATGATCAACTTAAGTTAATAGAAACAAATGTGGTTTCAATTGTTCATTTTCCAATTACTGGTTTCCTACTAAATTTCACCAGTTACTTCTTGACTATGGTTTATACTTTATTAAACAAAGGTGATCAAAAGTAACATTTTCAGGCTATTGAATGTAAGTGAATGAAGATGAAAAAACTTGGAAATGTCAAAAGACATGAATATTTGTGTATATGAATGGGTGAACGATGCCAAAACTCTTTTGAATTAGTCAGTTCTACATGTTAAATGTGTGTGCACATTATTTGGGACACTATTTGCAAAACCATGGTAATATCATTTCTATTTTAAGGGAACTTAAACCGGGCTAAGGTAATGTCCTATGCCTCTTCTCAGAAATGTAGGTTAGGGTTTATTAGAGGACTCACACCTACAGAATCCTTAAATGTATAAAAATTTCAACTTAAAACAACTTTTATTAATAAACTTGAAAAAGTTAACAAGGAGTAGCTCTTTTTGAAGTATAAGACTTGCTGAGTAATTGAAATCCCATGTTCAGCACAATGTCTTCCCTACAGTAGGAGCTCAGTAAATATTTTTCTGATGTATTGACTAATTGCTGAACTGTGATAAGATGTAGGAGGGAGTCACTTCTCTTTAATTTACAGTAATAATCAAAGAAGAAGTGATTTAACTTGAAGCAGAAGAGACTAGAATTAAAAGATAAATTCAATATTTAAGAAGGAAACAGCAAGGAGAACTTGAAGGACTGCAATTTGTTCATACTACCTTAATAGATGGTTTTAATATGTGCTATGTATAGTAAGAATTCTTTATCACATAGAAGATTATGTGATAAATTTAATCCTGATATCTGTGATTCTGTTACTCAATGTTCTTTTCACCTATTGAAATTTGACTTGTTTGCAAAGAACCACATGGCTCTCAACTAAAGGGGGGCATATTTACTTACTCAAATATCTCAACTAACAAAGGAGCAATAGCAATAACATGGAAACAGTGTTAAATCAAACAAGTAGTTGACAAAACGGATGACTTTCTCTGAATCTTGCCTGTTCATTTAGAATAGACATATCTGACAGGAAGAAAAAGAAGATATTCATGACTGCTTTTCTACATTTTTAAGTTTGTATCTGTGAATTCTATGATCAAAATTGCTTTTAATCACAAATTACAGAATCAAAATTGCTTTTAATCACAAATCACATAAAAAGAAACATATGATTTAAAATGAGCAAAACAGCCATCTACCTTCTTTACTAGTACATTAGGTATAAATAATTATTTAACCATGCAACATAATTCTGTACTGCCAATGTGACACTGTGAGCTCAGGGAGAAATTGGCATTTTTTTCTATGGGTCTTGGTAATGCCACCTGGTACCTCGGAAGGGAAGATCTGCAAAGAATTGTCTACAGTGTGTTGCCATCTGGTACCTACTAATAGAACAACTGAGTAACATAACTATTTAAGAGGACAGTCATAAAATAGAAGTCAGGAAATTCAGAGGATTCTGCCTAACAACCAAAGTAATGTAAATCTTTTTGAATGTCATCCTTGGCTGATGGCTCTATACAGGCCTCACATGAAAATGAGGTAAATTTTGTGGCAAAAATGAGTGACTAGATAATAAAAAATCTGAGTAGCTTACCTTCATTTCCTGATTCATAAATTGTAAGAACTGAAAAAATTATTAAGTTGGAAATAAGCAATATTTTTGTAACATTCAATCAAATGCTGTTACACAAATTTACTTATAGAATGAGATTTGTCTGTTGCAACAATGAAGAATTCCCATCAACACTAATATTGTACAACATTTATATTTTTGTTTCTGTACATAGCTTACTTGATTTTATATTTGTGGGGTAATTTTCCACAGTGCCCCATCTAATATTTGAATTAGATCATAGAAGGAAAGCAACAATTTCAATTATAAACTAGTCGTCAGTTCAATTTTCAATTACTAGTTTACATCAAACTTTCATAGGAATTTAAAATAAATCTCAGGGCTTGTCTAGGTTAAATAATCATTTTGTTTTGTTCCAGTATTCATTCCATTTTTCCTGAGTAAATGTGTATGTAGATGCTAGAAAGGAGAAAGGGAAAAAAAGATATAATGGCTACAAAAACAAGGCTAATCAAGTTTTAGCAACTTGGTAAGTACATCGAACTATATTTTTGTGTCTGGTCAAAACTATTACTAAAACTATGACTCTTCTATAAAACTGAACAAAACTCTTTCAGAAATTAGACATTATACATTTCATAGCTGAACTGCTTGAAATTAAATAGAATGTTTCCCAGAGTTCCATCAATTTGGAAAAAACTCTCAATGTTTTAAAATTTTACATCCTTTTTTGCACTATACATTGTCGCCATTACAACTTGTCCATCCTTCACAGATTATGTCTGTTTCCAACTGAAGAACATTGGGCAACATATGCAATTATCTTGAAATGCACACCTGTTAGGCAACCAAAAGGCTATATCAAATCACAAACTGTCTGCGGCATTTTTTTCTGATAAAGAAGACAGGCTGAATGAGGTATCATCAGGCTCTGGTGAGGCATGATTAAAATTCATTTCTTCTAATTCAGGAGGCAAATCTGACAGCAGTGCCTGAGTGGGAAAAATCAAATTTTTGATTAGTAAGTGGATATATATTTCTTCCAATTTTATGTTAAGATTTGAAATCCCCTAAATGTGACTTATTCCTAAGGATGTAAAGAAAGAACGAGTTCTCTTTAATAATCTTATGCTTATCTTACCTAAAGCAAAATGATCTCCATAAGTATTAAATAACTTAAAAAACACTAGATATTGAGGCTGTGGAGTAGGTAGACAGGAACCCTAGACAAAGGAGAATTCAGAAGGGATAATGAACAGCTATTCTGAACCAAGTGTTTGAGGCAACTTTCAAACTAGTTTCATATATTCATTAGTCACTGTTAAAAGCTTTAAAATCTTGTTCTTCATTTAAACATTCCTGCTCAATTAAGCTATCCTTTAAAGGAAAATACATTGCATTTCACAAAAGACTGTTTTGTATTTCACTGATAGTTCACCAATGAACTCTAGCTGTTGCAGTGATGTATCCAGAAAATGGATTATTGCTCTCTTGGAGTAATTAGCATAAAGCAAGGATCATGGACTAAGCTCCATAATGGTCTAATTAATTCATCTGGAATTACAGAACATGCATTTGTATTATGGAATAAATGATTAGTCAAGTTTGAGATGCTTATTTAACCATAAGACATTATTTATGAAAATATTTGCTGCTTCCAATGCTAAATATATCATATCTGAGCAATTTTTAGACAGTATTACTTGTGTATGAGCTTTGAAAATTATGGTAGACAAGGACCTAGTGAACAAGAACAAATGGAAGCTCACTACAATCCAACTAAGAAACACAAAGCCTAGGTACACTTGGAGAAAATATGAAATCCACTGTTGACATAAGACAGTAGGCTTTAATTCTCTTTATTAAAAGAAGTGACCAGTATAAATCCAATTTTTTTTGCATTTAGCACAGAGGTAAGGTTAGAAATGCCCTCCTGTTGATGGGATGTCTTAATAAAAGTCAATTCGGACTAGGATAAAAAGTGTTATCTATTGTGTACAAGTAAACAACTCTGAACTTCTTATTGAAGTTTGGAGCTTTTAAACGGTGAGACACTACACACTAAGGTGCTGGTTTGAAGTAATAGGACACAGAACAATTTTCTTTATACTAGCAGTTTACCATTAACCTATAATTTATGCAAATTACACCACTGGATTTAGATCTGATTGTAATTATGAATAAACCATCAGCAAGAAACCTAGACCAGTTGTTGTCGATGCTGATCGTTGGTGAATGTATGTGCCGTGCAGGAGAGCTGCGCTTTATAGCGCTTTCAAGTCTGCGACGTTTTGGAAGGGTATCTCCAGGAAAATGTACCAATTGACACTCACTCTGCTCAGCCTCTTGGGAAATCAAGCAGATCACGAGATTCTAAATTTTAGGGAGAAGACCTTCAAATCAGGGATATACTATTTTTTATACATTACATGTAGTTAACTATTAAGTAGCTAATAAAACATACAAGCTTTAATACACATTACTAATGGATGATGTACACTTCAAAATTTTTCTTTTCCCCATCTTACAGGATTGCAATATTTGCTCATTTAACAAGTCTTTGGAACATTTCGGCTTCTGGAAATTCCTTTTTTCATAGATAACTAAGTAAACACAATTAACTGTGCCTGTTTTACTACAGGTTCTTCATCAATGACAACTACCTTCAGAGTCCGATCTGGCACTATTCCCACAAGACGACTGTATTTCCTAAATATAGCCTCATTTTCTTTCTTTTTTTTTTCTCATTAAGCTTTATTTTAATGGGTCTCAAAATCCTGTGACAATTTTTGGTCAAGTTGTTTTCCATTTAAAAAACACTGATTTTAAAAACGAATAACACTGCCACACAACAAACATATGGTCCACCAACATTCTTTTCCTTCTGAACGTTTTACGATGCATTGTTATCATCAACCAGTCTTTCACTATGAAACTTAAATGGCCAATTGAGACAAACAGCGCTGAGACCGTTCTTCCACCCCTGATTAAGATTGAAGTGGCAGGTGTGATGGGTAATATTCATTTAGCCTTCTGAGCCTTCGGGGCAGACTTGGTGACCTTGCCAGCGCCAGCAGCCTTTTTGTTCACTGCCTTGATGACACCCACAGCAACTGTTTGTCGCATGTCTCAGACAGCAAAACGACCCAGAGGAGGATAGTCAGAGAAGCTTTCCACACACATGGGCTTGCCAGGTACCATGTCAACAAAGGCAGCATCACCAGACTGCAAGAATTTGGGGCCATCTTCCAATTTCTTGCCAGAATGGCAATCAATCTTCTCTTTGAGCTCAGCAAACTTGCAAGCAATGTGGGCAGTGTGACAATCCAGCACAGGTGCGTATCCAGCACTGATTTGGCCTGGATGGTCCAGGATGATCACCTGAGCGGTGAAGCCAGCTGCTTCCATTGGTGGGTCATTTTTGCTGTCACCAGCCACATCGCCACGGGGAACATCTTTGACAGAGACGTTCTTGACATTGAAGCCGACATTGTCCCCAGGCAGAGCTTCACTCAAAGCTTCACGGTGCATTTCAACAGACTTAACGTCAGTGGTACCATTGACTGAGCAAAGGTGACCACCACACCAGGTTTCAGAACCCCAGTTTCCACTCTGCCTACAGGGACAGTACCAATAGTGTGAATTTTGTAGACGCCCTGGAGAGGCAGGCGCTCGTCAATTAGGCGAGTTGGTGGCAGGATGCAATCCAGAGCTTCAAGTAGTGTAGTCCCACTGGCAGTGCCATCCTTATGAGTAACCTTCCACCCCTTGAACCAAGGCTTATTAGCACTTGGTTCCAGCATGTTGTCACCATTCCAACCAGAAATTGGCACAAATGCTACTGTGTCAGGGTTGTAGCCAATTTTCTTAAGGTAGGTGCTGACTTCCTTAACAATTTCCTCGGATCTCTTCTGGCTGTAGGTGGCTCAGTAGAATCCATTTTGTTAACACCAACAATGAGCTGTTTCACACCCAGTGTGTAAGCCAGAAGGGCATGCTCACGGGTCTGCACATTCTTGGAGAGACCAGCTTCAAATTCACCCACACCAGCAGCAACAAGGAGAACAGCACAGTCAGCCTGCGGTGTTCCTGCCATCATGTTTTTAATGAAGTCTCTGTGTCCGGGGGCATCGATGATGGTCACATAGTACTTGCTGGTCTCAAATCCCCACAGGGAGAGATCAATGGCGATGCCACGCTCCCGTTCAGCTTTCAGTTTATCCAAGAGCAGGCAGACTTGAAGGAGCCCTTCTCCATCTCTAATGCTTCTTTCTCGATTTTTCCGATGGTTCTCTTGTCGATCCCACCACATTTGTAGATCAGATGACCAGTTGTGGTGGACTTGCCAGAATCGACGTGTCCAATGACGACGATGTTGATATGGGTCTTCTCTTTTCCCATTTTGGCTTAGGTTTCTGCCATGGTTTTCACCAACACCTATATTCTGGCGGCAAACCCGTCGTGAAAAAGCCATCAGTTTCTATACCACTTATTCCAGGTTTTAGGTGTAAATGTCAAGTTCCATACTATTAATCCTATTACCCTTGCAAAGTTGAAAGTCTGGAGTTCAAGACCTTTACCAAAAGAAATAATGAATATAAACAACGACTTGGTACATGGCTGTCAATATTATGTTAAATGATTATTGATTGAAAACCAAAAAGACTTTGAATAATATTTTAGTTCATATTGCTTTTTCCAAACTGTGTATAGCTTCCTTGTGTATTAATCACACCACTTAACTTGCTTAAATCAAAATTAATGAAAAAATAGCGATTTGGTAAAAAGAGAATCTGATGTATTATTAGGTAGAATAAATATTAGTGTCTTCTGGAAATAAACCTAAGTATCTCACAGTGTAAAGATTATTAGATCACACAGGTAGCTTTTTTTTTCAAGCTTTCTTCTGATTCCTTCGCTTTTTAAAAAAATCATATTTTGGGGGCTCGTACAACTGTTATCACAATTCATACATCAATTGAATCAGGCATGTTTGTATATATGTTGCCCTTATTCTTTTCTAGGCATTTACTTTCTATTGAGCCCTTGCTATCAGCTCTTTTTAAATTTCCCCCCTTCCCCCACTCTCATAACCCCAATAGATTGTATACTGTTATTATTTTCATCTCCCACTCCGACTGCTGTCTCTCTCCCCCCATGTTTTCTGTTGTTCTCCCCCCTGTAGAGGGGTGTATGGTTATACATCGATCATTGTGATCAGTTTCCCCTTTCTCCCATCCTCTCCCCCCTTTCCCCCTACCCTCTGGTATCACTATTCCCACTCCTGTTCCTGGATTCTGTGTGTCGTGAGCTCCCATCCCTTTCTATACCTGTGTACATGTTCTGGTCTAGTCTGAATTGAGAAGCAGCACTGGGGTCTAGGTAGTGAGGGGTGAGGAAGCCTCAAGGAACCAGAGGAATATAGTGTGTTTCATCGATGCTTTACTGCACCCTGGTGACTCATCATAGGTAGTTTTTTAAAAATCTTTTTAGTGATTGATTGTTTTGAAAACAGGGCTAATTATTTTTGTATCACAGGGCTTTGAACTGGTCCTTTCGGGACTGAGCCCTCTACTGAGAACTTGAAATACCCACCAGAATTACACTGAATCAGATTTGTTAAAACGTAGATTCTGATTCAATATAGCTGAGATTAAAATGCAAATTCTCATCAGGGGTGAAACCTGAATAAACCCGGTTTAAAGTCATGTTTGAAATCCACCCATTAAGAAAGTCCTTATAATCTATCTCAATTATGCAAATCATAGATTTCTCTTTGGGTGTTTATTATATAGACTATGATTTTCCCACTGCTGAGAAGTCAGTCCTGACTCATAGTAACCCTATAGGACAGAACTGCTCTTTAGTTTTTGAGGCTGTACATGTGTATGAGAGCACACAGCCTCATCTTTCCCTGGAAGAGACCCTGGTGGGCTGGAACCACCGATCTTATAGTTAATAGCCTGTGTGCTATTAGGGCTATAATATTCAGTACAACGTTGTCCTATTTTCTCTTTATTTTGGCCACATTTTTGTCCATATTTAAGTTCATTAGTCTTTTAGTAGAGGAAAAGTAGAAGAGGAGAAAAGTAAAATCACATTAGTTTCTTTTCTTATTTGTTATTAGTCCTGGAAAAAGAACCAAGTCAGAAATGAAGTTAAAATCAGAGAATGAAATGGAGTCCATGTGCTACTACTACTCCTAGATGTCAAGGGATACAGGTGATTGCTCTTTAGTTGCTTCTATAACCCTGTAGATAAACCATACTGTGGCTTCTGAGTACATGACCACACCCCAAGCTAGTCTATGATTCAATCTATTTTTTCCAGTTTTCAGAAATTTACAGTACCTTTGGTATTATGTTACAGATTAGCATTTTTTCCTTTTAAAGAAATCTGAATTTCTGAAAATAAGCACATTATATATATAAAATCTGGAATATATATAATTCACACAAGAAATTAATTGGCTTAAATAAAGTTTTCAAAGTGTGTGAAGAGGATGGAAAATCTTTGATAATGGATACATAATGTACATGTTGGTTTCAACCTTATGAGTAAATTCTTTTAGTTCATACTTTTTGAGTTAGCCCATTAGTAAAATAAATTTAAAAGACTAGTTTATTTATTTTTAATGGAGAATTGAGGGATATTCAGACTCTATTATTTTCCTGTAGATGCCTAGTAGGGATTACGTAAAGTCTTACTTGGATATAAATTTTTTTTTCTGCTTCTGAGATTTCTTACTGAAAAAAATTCTTGGTGGCTACTTCTTAAATAATGGTTATTTGTGTCTCATATTACTCATATGAAACTTCTCTGACAAAGAATCAGCATGGTGATATATAACACAAAGACAAATTTGATATCCTTTAATATAAAATGAAACATGTATGCAATCTTGTAGAAAGGTTAATAAATTACTAAATATATTTAATATGAAAATCTGAGAAAGAAAAGATAATTTGGGAAGAATTTGTTTTTAAAAATCCACAGAGGTTAATGGAAGAAATTGCATTTTAATTTTGGAATAGAAGAATCAAATACTCCACTTTAATTGTGCAAAAAGAAATGATACTTACTGTATCACAAATAATTTCCCATTTTAGGTTATCCATGCATTTGTGAGCTATAGTTGGAGATGGAAGGTAAATTAAACCTATCAAAGAGGCAACTGCCTCACTTCTTTCATGATCAAAAAGTCTTAAAATATGTGCCTTCCCAGTCTCTAGAAACATTTTCAGAAATTTCTTTTGAATGATTTTTCAATATCTAAAAGATAGCCTGGAAAAGCATACTAATCAATTACTCAGATTTTCTACTATAGCAGAACACAAAATCTCAGTATTTACCCTCAAGAATGTCTTAAATATGGTAAGAAAATAATTCCTCCAATAAAGCATACAATGGAAATAAAACTGAAAAAAATATTAACAGCCCACCTGTAATATGCTACTTTGTAACATGATGCAATGCAGCTTAACAGTGTCTTTTGAGCCTTACCTGCTGCTGGTCCTTATCGTCAGCTTTCATAGCTAGTATCAAGCTCCTAACAAAGGTTTGAAGTTTAAAATATTTTTGCTTTTGGATTTCTAGCTCATTTTCAATAAATCTGACTTCTTCATTCTAAAGGATAAAAAAGCAAGTAATACAATTACCCGATGTAAATGTAGAGCTGTACATGTTTGATAAACACACAGTTCTAAAGAACAACAAAATTAGAGAGACAATGAAGACAATAAATCTTTAGTGTAAGGAATAAAAGGCACAATAGGAAATTATCTTGCTACCCAAAGATAAACCACCAACAGGAAATAATTTCTTATGTCAAATATCCAATGAATCAAATTCCAGTAAGAGAAAAACAAAGAAACAGTTTCATTCTTTGGAAAGACCCCTCCAATATAAAATCAAATTTGCCCATTGATTAAGATTAAGAACAGGTAAAACCCCAAATAAAGACAATGACACATTTATTAATGTTGATTGTACCATTCACAAAGCCAACTACAGGGATAGAAATAGAGTACTCTTTTATACTGAAATTGTTACTAAGACTGTTTGTGTCCTTCTATTATGTAGAAATTTGCTTTCAGAAAATATCTCCAATGTACCATTAAATTGAGATCTAGTCTCATCACTATTTTTGTTAGTTGTGTAGGAAAAGAAAAGTAGACTGGGATTTAGAGGTGCTTTAGTGCCATGTTTACTGCTAACTATGTGTGTCAATATGATCAAGCCAGTTAACATTTCTGTGCCCCCATTTTCTCACCAATAAAATGTAGGTAATATTAGTAAACTTTGGCAAATATGATTTGAGGTTTATAAAGCTCATATAAGATAATGAGTATTAATATCCTCTGAATAGATTTATTATAAAGCCACAGTAATTAGAAAATGTAGTGCTGAGATAATATAGGCCAATAGAATAGAAGGAAAAAAACAGAAATAGAACTGTGCAAAAATAGTCAGTTGATTTTTTATAAAAGAACTGAAGTAATGCAATAGACAAAGTAGTCTTTCAACAAACAGTAGTGGAACAATTGTAAACCCGTGTGCAAGAAAGAGAGGGAAAGAGGGAGGGAGGGAGGAAAGGAAAAAAAGGAAAGAGGGAAGGAAAGAACACTGACCTTTACCTAACACCATATAAAAATTTTAACAAGAAATTTGTTGCAACCATAAATGTAAAGCCTAACACTAGAAAACTTCTAGAGAAAAACAAAGGCGGGAAAAACCCTCAACCCTTTTCTCTGCCAACATTTTCTGCTTTCTTTTCATTGAGAATCTCTATTTTGTTTTGTCCCTGTTGGATTTGGTTTATTTAAAGAGGCCTTGTGCAGCAGATTTACTCAATACAATGTGTCATTTTATCTTTGGACTGCTCCTTCCATGAGCATTGGTTGTGGATCCAAGCAAGACAAAATCCTGGACAATTTCAACCTTTTCTCCATTTATCATGATTTTACCTAATGGTCCAGTTGTAAGGATTTTGGTTTTCTTTACATTGAGGTATAATCTATACTGAAGGCTTCAATCCTTGATCTTCATCCAGCAAGTGCTTAAATTTCTCCTCACTTTAAGCAAGCAAGTTTGTGTCATTTGCATATTGCAGGTTGTTAATAAACCTTCCAATCCTGATCTCACATTCTTCTTCTTATAATCCAGCTTCTCTGATGATTTGCTCAGCACACAGATTGAATAAATACCATGAGAAGATACAACCCTGACACTCACTTTCCTAATTTTAAATCATGCAGTATTCCCTTGTTCTGTTTGCACAACTACCTTTTGATCCATATACAGGTTCCACATGAGCATAATGTAGTGTTCTGGAATTCTAATTCTTCTCAAGGGTAACCATAGTTTGTTATGGCCCACACAGTTGAGTGTTTTAGCTTAATCAATAAAACATAAGTAAATATAATTCATCCAAAATCCATTCTTTGGTACCACTGCAACCACTGTTCAATGATTGTCAGTAAAATCGGTATATGCCCTAGAGATATGAATTTCTATAGCTATATCTTAATAAGGAACTCCTTGATGACCAAAGTGAGTATTAATGGCTTAATAAAAAAAGACAAACCAACAAACCAAAATAGCGACTTTCGAGTATTCTTTCTTATGGTGACTCCATATGTATCAGACTAAAACTATGCTTCATAATTTTATTTCAGAATTTTCAGTGCTGATTTTTTCAAAAGTAGATTGTCAGATTTTATTTCAGAATTTTCAGTGCTGATTTTTTCAAAAGTAGATTGTCAGGACTTTCTTCCAAGGTACTTCTAGTGGACATGAACTTTCCCATTGTCAGTCAAGAATTTTAACTTTTTGTGCCAATAATAATTATCAAATGTACCTAAGAGATATTCTTTCAGTTTGCTATAATGAATCCCAAGAATGTAAATGTTAGTTTTAAAATTATTTTCAAAAATAAATTAATTCATTGGTTTATGCAGTAACTGGTTGCTGAACACTTATGTGGAAGGCTCTGGACTAGAAAATATAAAAAATAATAAGACACAATTCTGCATTCAAGAAGTTTATGACTAATACACTTAAAAAAGAGCAAAATGATTTTCATTCAAAAGCAATGATCACTAACAATAGAATTGATGAAACATTATTAATGTAAAAACAGCACAATTTCCTTTAATGACAAATTAAAGTTTTAAATGTATAATGCTGTTTTAGACCAATGTTCTAAAATAAAAAATGTGTACTGCAATATAGCAACAGCAAGAGAATGTAGTTAGAAATATGGATGGCAAATGTGCTTCAAGAGAAAACAGTGGACGTGGTGCATTTTAAGCAGTGACAAAGATCTTGGCTATTTGGCTGATGAAATTTCTAATCCAGACCTTAAAGGGGCTATACGGTTTTTCCTTGTTGCTTATTGTACAATTTGAGAAGAAAGAGATAAATTCAAATAGTGCAAAGTTAAAACAATACTTAAAGATTTGGAAAATTCTATTGTATGAACTAAGGACATGTCCTAGAATTTTCACCATGGTTCTGGGTACACAATCTTTTGTTGAAGAAATTAAGTCTTTTTAATGAAGACATTAATATGATTGATGAATCTAACCAATTACCACAGAAGAAATTTAGGTAACTTACACTGAAGGGGATAACGAAAGAAAAAAAGAGAATAATTTCTGCCTCTGGATTTCTATAAACAGGAGACAGGGCAAAGGAGCTACATCTATCTTCTGCCAAGAAAAGAAAAGAAGCATCTCTCGAGCAACTTTGAGATATGCAGAACTGTTGGAAAGTATGCAGGAAGTAGAACTTTCCTGGTTTCAAAAGGGTTGGGACACGATCTCCTGGATCCCAATGGGTGAGTCCACAGCCTCCTATATTTCAGAGTTGTATCTATACCAACTTGGGTTCTGGAGTGTGAGTCAACTGTTATTGTGTGTCAGGGGTGTGGGGCCACCACCCAAACCTGAGGAGTCAGTGCTACCATGCCGATAAAGAGCAGAATAATGGGGCCTGCTAGTGCCTACTAAGACCAAGGGGATTGGATTACCACTCAGATACACTAGAATAATGGGACTGCCCAAAATCAAGGGAGCAAATCGCCTCTCAGTGGGCTTGGAACATGAAGCTGAAGTCCATTGTTAAAAAGCATATACCCAGATTTTGCAAATAGTTCCAAAAATACCCAAAGAAATATTTTCAAGCCTTGAGATCCAATGAAAATTGTTGTTTGCTTTTGGACTTGCTTAGTGCCTGTTACAGCTTCTTTTCCTTCAATTTTTTCTCCTTGCAATGAAAAGCATTTTAATCTAGATTTCATAGATGTACACATGAAGAGGAATTTTGTCCCAAGGTGAACTATACCTAACATGTCACTCATATTTTGTTTAGGTGCTTTAGAATATGAGACTTCAGACCTGGAGGAGATTTAACATTGTTAATATGATGTGATAAGGTGTATGTTTTGCCTATGGCAAGGGCATGGATTTTTGCTTCTCAAGGGGTGAAATTATACACTGAATTATGTCCTGCAGAAACATATATTTTAAATCCTAACTTCTTATGCCTGTGGCTGATGTCAGTTCACAACTGGCCTGGTCTTCTGTCTTTAATGTTCAATGTGTTAAATCTACACATTGAACATCATACATGAAGAAAGTGAAAGGTCATTAAAAACCAAGAAAGAAAGAAAATATCAAACTGGCTATCAGAGGAGCCTCTGAAATATACTCTTTAACTTGGATAAGTTAATGTGGCTTGAAGAAATGACGAAGCATAAATTTGAGCAGAACACTCCAAAAGGCAGCTGGAGAAGACAAAGCAAAGGATTATAAGTAAATATGCAAAGGAGAAAATGCTCAACATTTATCAATATGAAAGAACTGAAGAAAATGTTCAAAACTCAAGTTACAATTTTAAAGTGCAAAATATTGAACCATAAAGGAATAATCAAAATAAGATGGATGGTGTACAGAGTCACAGTACCCCAAATAATCAAGCAACTTGCAACCATTTTAAGAGGTAGCATATCAAGAACTGATAGTATGGAAGGAAATTAAAGTGAAAAACAAGACTCCAGAAATTGATGGAATACCAACAGAAATAGTTCAACAAATGTATTCAGCATTGGAAGTTCTCTTTCAGAGAGGAGACTCTGGCTGAAAATCAAGTTAAGACCAACGAAGGGGAGCATTAACATTTCAGAGGAGGCACTGATATTTCTGCTGGTGGGTAAATGGGGAGAAGCAATCTCTTATCAGGAAAGGATGCTAAGGAACTTAAGGGATGCTAAAGGATGTAGGGAACTTAAGGGGAGAATAAAACTGGTTTTATGTTCCCGGGTAGACATTTCAAATGTTTCTTCCCAACCCTAGGAGAAACGCACAATGGGCTAAGCATTATTATGATCTTAGACTCTGGCCTTACAGGGAACATGGCACTCCCCAAGGGCCACGCCAGAAGGACTTATCATGGAAGCCTGGCTAAATGAATTGGGCCCTAATCTCAAAACTACCTGTAGCCTTGGGCTTAGGACTGAAATAGTCTGATGGGAGAGGAAGCCAAAGATAGCGACCCCAAGACTATGGAAATGGTGGTCATTGGACGTTGAGTGGGACCCCTTGTTTATTGGGTGGCCAATGAAA